TCAATTTACTTAAGTATTAATAAAAGTCTGGGGCAGGAGCTACACCCCAAATATTAAAAAAAAAAAAAAAAAAAATTTTCTATTAAGTATTCGGGATCTTCTCTTGATAATTTCTTAATAAGTTCGTTTTTAGATTTTAAACTAGTTATAATTTCTTGAAGAAAAGTTTTTTTATTAACTCTTATATTAACAAATAATAATAAAAATATAATTTATTTAAAGATTATATAAGTTAAAAATTATATTCATATTTAATTTTTTTTTTAAATTCTTGTTCTTTTATATTATTATTTTCTAAAAAAGAATATGTTGATGTTTCTTGCTTATCTGATTTTTTTATATTGCCTGTTCTGTCAACTTCACTAATTTTCTTTGCTACTTTTTCCATTGCTTCAAACAATGCTCCCGATTTTACATCTTTATTATTTGGATCTAGTGTTGTAATTTTAAGATGTTCAAAAATTCTAATCCAAACTTCTCTTTGTTTTTCTAATACTTCTTCAACTAATAAAGGAGGTTTTGGTAGTGGGGCTTTAGGATTATCTGGTGGATTTTCTCTACCGCTAGCAATTTGTGAACGTAAAAACTCAATTAATCTTCTAATGCGATTTACTTCACCAGATGCTGATTCAAGTATTGAAGGTGGTTTTGGTATTGATGATAACATTTTAATAAAAAAAAATAATTTATATTTAAATATAAAACCACCCTATTTATATAAATTATTTATTTAATTCAAAAAAAAAAAAAAAAAATTATTATTTTTCTTTTTAATTATTCTTTATATACGAATTTTTCATCAAGCACGTCCTAAAGCTCCCAAAAGAGAATCTGTTTATTCTCCTTCACTTGTAAATGTTTTAGTAAATGAACGTTTACCAAAACTATATATATGAGATTATTGTTCAAATTCTTATAAATCTATCTTTAAAAAAAACAGACAAGTTACCAATCTTTATAATAGTGGTATTTTTTTAGAAAGATTTGTTAGAGGCAAATCAAGACCTATTTATGAACTGGTACATAAAGCAAAAGAACCTAAAAAAAATAAATAATGAAAAAATAGACAAAAAAAATAAATGTCTTCTATAAGTGGTGAAATAAATCGTATTAATCAAAAAATAACTAATTTAAATAATAAGAACACTTCTTTACAAACAGAAAATGATCAATTGATTAATGATAACGATACTTTAAGACAAGAAACAAGACAATTACAATTGCATATACAGAATTTAAGACAAGATAATACTGAATTAAGCGATATTATTAATCAATCAAATATTTATACTGAAAGAATACTTAATAATCTTAACATTTCATTCAATAATAATGATACTTTATTAGAAAGATTGCAAAAAATTGTAACAGCTACAGATAAATAATTATTTATTTATAATAAAATATAATATAAAAATTAAAATTTTTGTTTTGTTTATACATTGATATGAGGTTCCTGAATCGCTGATTTGGCTACGCCCCAAGCTCACCTCATATTGTAGTAATAAACGGCACAAAAAACATTGTTCATCTGATATTTTATTATATCCTTGTTGTCTGGTCGCTGCCGCTAGGCCTTCTGCAAGCAGAAGCAGCTTATTAGCAACTTTGACTACAATATGATCAGACGCCAAATGCTTTTGAATTGGTTACAGTAAAACTGTAACCAATTAAACACTATTTGTTTCTGATATATCTCACAAAGTTGATTAATATAATTTTCATTTATTTTAATTAGATAAAATAAAAAATATAAATATTTAGATTGTAATTATATTTTATTTTTAAAAATATATTTTTGAATAACCATTACAATTTCCAGTAATTTTGTCTATTTTATATTTAAATTCTAATGCTAATTGTTTTGCTTGATCACTAGTTCTATTTTTAGTGATATAAAATTTTTTATTTTTATGTTTATTATTTTTATATCATTTAAATTCCCAATTTTTTTTGTTTTTATTAAAACTAATACCATTATACCCAGAAGTATTGTTTTTTGATAATTTACGATTTAATACATTTTGATAAAATGTAGTTTTACATAAATTTACAACACAGTTATCAAGCCCAGAACGATTAATATAATCTATTATAGACCATTCTGGATAGAGTATTCGATAAAATTGAATTTTTTTATTTTTAATTTGTGTTTGAATATAAAATGTGTTTCTATCTTTACATGAATGCCAAGTGTAATTTTGAATTAAATTAAAATGTTTGAGATCAGTTAAAAAAGAAATATTCTCTTTAATTTTGACTTCAAGATATAGTTTAAAGTTGATCTTAACAAGACAATATTCATTAAGTTTATGATTTGGTTTATCAGGATTTTTGTATTTTTTCCAATCAGTAATTACTTCAAAATTTTCAAATTTTTCTTTCCAATCCATCTTTAATTAAAAAAATAAACATTCTTGCAGAATAGCCAGCATAAGCAGACTAGACAACAAGGATATAATAAAATATTAGGTGGACAAAGAGAGAGTCAATATTTGAAATGAAAATGAATGACAAGACAAAATATTAGTTTGGTGAACTACTTTCATCTTGTATTTTTTTTAAAAAAATATATTTTTTAATAATTAATGATAGAAAAAATATAGTGTTTATATAGTTTTAAAGTAGTACAAATTCATTAATTTCGGTTAATGAAATACATGTTCGATAATATATAAGTGATTTTGAAATTTTATTATTTCTGTTATGATAATGAAAAAAGAATCTATTTTTTTTACTGTAAATTTGTAAAAAAAATCTGAAGCTGTTTTTATTTTAAGCTTGTTACATCTTTTTTGTAACGATAATATTTTGTTAAATGCTTGTTGATTAAATTCATTTTTTTTTTAATATGATATCAATGTTGTTGTTTGTTGCATTGTGTTGTAATATTTTATCAATTGATTATACACTTCACATGTAAGGATATTATTATCATATTTTATATATTTTATTTTTCAAGAGCGCTTCTAGACAAAATTGTTTAAAAATTCAACTACTGAATTTTTTGGACAAATATCAAAACAATCTTTACAAAGTGTATGTTTATAAGTATATGTTGGTTGAATCTGGTTTATAAACATAAATCTATAACCGATTAAATTTAAATCTCTGAAATTTAAAGGTGGATTCACCACATTCATACTCATACATATTTTAATAAAGCAGCAATTATTATTAACTACAGTATTTTTACAACAAAATTTACATCTACTACATTTATCACATTTATGTTTTCCAAGATCTTTTTTTTTTTTTTTTTTTTTTTTTTTTTAAGCGATCCTGCCTTTATTCATGTGAACTGTTATATAATTTTTACACC